AAAAAAAATAAAAAATAGTGAAAAGAATTGTGATGAAATGGCATATTATGTCCACTGCTTTTGTCATACACTAAATCTCATAATTGTTGATATAGTAAAGTCAGTCAACTGTGTTTCACAAAAGATATCTCTTTTTATGAAAATGAACTCATTCTTGAGTACCAGTACAATTCATGCAATGTGAGAAAAACAAGTAAGAGGAGCATGGTGTTAAGAAAATGAAGATAGGGAAAGTTTCTGACGCTCAATGGTTGTGCCAGGTGAAGCAATATAGTGTAGTCTGTAAACGACTTCCAATCATATTAGAGTTACTCAAAAGATATAATCAAAAATGACAAAAATTATGACCTTGAAACAGAAGCAAATGGTTTAAAATTACAGACTAATCATCAGTTTGTTCAATACCTTTTTGCAGTCAGACATATCCTAAACAAAGCAAAGTTTGTGTCAGATATGCTGCAGAAGCCAAACAATGAGATGTCATATGCAATAGACCTTAAATACATTGACAGAAGAAGTAGATGTTTGCCGCACTATAGAATACTGCAGCAAGTTTTTGGATGTAGCAGAAGCAGTTTCAGATGAGCTGAAATTGCCCACCAGCACTACAAGATTTGATTGTGGAAATAGTGATCAATGTGACAAACCAGAAAAGTTATATGGATGGAAAAACAGAGGAGCACATCCAAGTGGTGTGGAAAAAAACAATGGAAGTTCCCCAAGGTATAGAGTGGCTAGGGCATGACAGACTGCACTCGGCAAGTTGACCACATCTAAAACCCATGCTGCTTGGAACTGACATCTACATGGAGTTACTATGAGGGATCCCAATCTAAGAGGTGAACTGCAATTTTACATCTCACTCCTTTGGTTTTTGTATGCTTTACAGTGGAGGATATCGCGCCATCTACACCAGCAGAACACCACCACCCTACTCTGCAATGAATGGTATTTCTGTATTGATTTTTTATTTCATTAAACCATTCAGGAGGATGCCTCCATGGTCCACCACCCCAACGACTTGGAACTGGAAAGTGGTAATGATTACCAAACTCCAGTAGAAGAAAAGAGGGATAAAATGAGGTGGAGAGTCTGGAGGAAAGTTAACCCCTGAGACAGTGCAATGGGTAACCACAAAACCTTATTTTTAAAAGCAAACTATACTGATTTATTCATTACAAAGCATGGTAGGGATGGGCAGCTATCCCCTAATGCTTTTTTCTGTTTTTCTTACTTAATGTTTCTATAAGCTACTTTCACTTGTACATTATTGCAACTTGTATGTCTATATAACTATATAAAAAGCACTCATACAGAAGAACCATGATTAATGTTATCCATGGGTGGTACAGTCCGGGATGGGCATATTTATGAAGCAATTCCATCATGAAGATAACCTCCAAGCGATCTTGTGGAACACCCCATCTCAACAGTATGCATGATATGGCTGAACAGTGTGGATTTTAAAGGTTAAAGAATACATAGTCAGGCACCACTTGCCACAGAGCAGAATCCAAACAATGAGTAATTACCATGAAAAGGGAAAAGCCCTTTAAAAAACAAAAACTTACCCAGTCAAAGTCGCATGGAAGTCTGAAAAATGGCTACAGGTGGAAGATGATAGCCCAAACAGGAAGAAACTGCAATCCTATGCAAATAGTGAGAGACAAACGTATTAGTAGTCCACATGGCCAATTAAAGAAGTTCCTCCAGATGGCGAAGATGAGATGCCAGAGAAAAGGTATGGTGTTTAATTTGATGAGAAGACACCTGGAACAAAGTATAGGAGAATGACAAAAGAGAGGAATAAGCCAATCAAATCAAAAGCCAAACCCAAATGGTGAGGGTGCAAGAAGAAAGATCACAAACAGAGGATGGTTTGCAAGGGATAAAGAGTTGGGAATGAACACCACAGAGGACAATATAACATCAAATACATATAAGTCTATCCAAATCAGGCTGAGAATAAATGGAAGGGAAATTGGTGAAAAGGAGGAGTTACCCTCCCTAGCCACCCAGGTTTTGGGGAGGATAGAACGATCCAGATAAAGGAAAAGATATGTAGGATGATAAAAGAGTATGTCAAACCTCGATGGCAAATACATCAGACTGCCGACATCCACAGGCTAAGAGGAGAAGGAAATAATTCTTAAGGGAAAGGTGAAACAAGGAACACATGGAAAATGGTTTAAATGGAAGCAAATTGAGGCAATGTAGGATCACATTAATATCCCAGTCAGGAAGGGCAGCCAATTGCAGAGGAAAACGAATTCAAAAGGTATGTATCAACAGGAAGAGTGTAGGAGAAGTAAATACCCTAGGGTATCAGGAAAAATGAAAGGTGTGGGACAAAGCTGCCCGATAACTGGAAATCAAGGAGCCAGAGGATCCGTGATTGAAATGCCAGGTAAGAAATTCAGCAATATGAGGAACAGTGGGTCAATCAGCTGAAAACCCCTGGCCCAGAGACCAACATTGGAAAACATTCCATTTAGACCAATAAACTTCCAAAGGCAAATGGAACAGGCCAGAGATGAAGCTACCTGTTAGGACAAGCCTGATTTCACTGCCAAGGATTGGATAAAAATCAAGTGTGAGGATGGAGGACAGGAAGAACAGGATGAAGCACCAATGACCAAGGTTGCCAAATAAGAGAGGGAAACAGAGGAAGAAGCAAGAGGGGTAATTTGTAGCCAGATATGTTGAGGAAACCATGGCTGAGCTGGCCAGTAAGAAGTAATCAGAAAGACTTAACAAGGAGTGGTACAGATGATTGAAATCACCTGGTGAAGAAGTCGAATGGGTGAATAAACATATAGGTATTTGTTTGTCCAATCCTGACTGAAAGCATCAACTGTCATAGCAAGAGAATGAGGGACCAGATACTAAAACAGAGGTAGTTTATAGTTGAGGGGTGTGGCAAAGGCATTGATGTGAGGAGTACCCGACTGAATGCAAAGCCACCGGAAAACAAGAGGATCGAGAGATCACTCCATCAGATAGACTTTGTCCGAACAGGAAAGATGATCCACAACAAGATATAAAGGACCTGTAACACAACAAAACATGGAATGATATGGATATCTGGCATGTGGGCTCAGATAAGAAGATCCAACGTATGAAAACATACGAATTTATAATGGGTGCCACCTTGGTGATTGAGAAAAGCAACCACTGTGGAATTGTTGGAATGAATCATTACCAGAATATGTTTGGCCAGATGGAGGAAATGATCTAAGACAGATGTACAGCTAGAAGCTCCAGAGTGCTGATATGACAAGACTTCTCAGCCACAAACATTACGTAATTCAATATGGTAACTTGAGCTACACATTCACCAAGTGATTTCAACTTGTGTGGCAGAATTATTTGTTACACATATGTCAATGAGCAATAGAACAATAAAATTTAAGTATAAATAGATGTATACTGTTATGAGCTTTAAGCTATTTAGGATAAAGAATTGTAGTTCCTTGTTACAATTTGCAGTCATTCTAGAATGAAAAATAGGTATATTTAGTATTTTTTTATGGCAGTTATTAGGTCAATAAAATTGACCAAATGCATATTAAGTCAGGGTTAAGAAAATAAGAGATAAAATATAAAGTGTTACTGAAAAAAATGTGGTCTTTATTTAGGAGGTTTTAGAGGCTATACTAATGAAATTTGACAATTTTCAGGTGAAAGAATGGTATTTTGAATCTTAACACAAAATTCACTCTGCACTCGGAGCAGTCCACACTTAGACTTATATTCATGGAGTAAGTTTTACTAAAAATACTTACAAAAGAGTTGTAATGTTTATTGAAAGCTTGCCAGATTTCATTAAGATACACAAAATATATTACAAGTTATAGTGAGGAACTTCTGATGCACACTTTGTGGTTACAATGTCGGTTTATTCCACTGAGGAAGTAGTAAAATGGGTAAGTATGGAGCATTGATTTCACATAGTTCTCCAAAGCTCCTAATATGAGTAGTCCATTGACAAAAACAGTTTTAAGGGAAGGAAATCTGCTGATTCATGTATCTTTTAGAAAGTGACCATCTTGTATCCGATATAAGTGTGCACACTGTTTTTGTTTGTCTTCAATATAAATATTGTTCTTCACATTACTCAATGTTTCCAGTCTGTGTATTTTGTTAGCTCAAAACTCAGTTAAGCTAAAGTCAGACTTACTCTGAAATTATCCTGATTGATCTTCCCATTATAAAGTAAATCTAACTAGCACTCTTTGTAAAAATCAGTTAATCTGAGATTACCACTCATATAAGATTATAACATTTTATAATCAGCCTTATTTTACGTGAAAATTACATTAATTGCAATTACATATAGTGTTGGAAATTGGTTGAAATATTAAGAACAATAATTGGTTTAACAGAATTGCTTGTTCTTTGATTAGAATTGTTTAGCAACTTTTTTTTTCAATATGTTGAAATAAAAACATTGTAAACTAGTTGTGTTTAGTTAAAAATTTTTCTATTTCGATATATTTTGTTGTCCAGAACAAAATTATAGCAACAAAACATGAGAAACATGTTGAAATTATTGGCTTTTATTTTGTACAGTATGATTTTCAAGCAATAAACTCATCCTAGTTTCATATAAGAAAGAATGAATTTTTGGAATTGTTTAAGGCCTTTAATTATCTAACAAAAGCTCATCTTGCCCACATTTAGTGGTTGTTAACCAATGGGAATATCTTGTTAATTATGTTTGACTTACTACATAAACAATCAATTTTCTTGAAACAAGATCAAGAAATAAGGATATAATAAGAAATATAAAAACAACTTAAGGATATAAACAAATATAAAATTAACATAACCATGAAAAATAATATTGTAATCAGTTATAATCAATTATGAAAAATCATAAACAAATGCTTGGTTAGATTTTTTCAAGGTGAATTTAATGAAAATAAATGAACTTAAAGAATAAACTTATGACTGGAAAAAAAATTGCCCAATCTACTTACAGTCTGGGATAATTCTACCTGTATTAGAATAACAAGAAACACTTTCTCTCCCAGTGAAACAATGACACCAATTTGGTCCCACACAAAATCCTTCTCCTCCACAATTGTTTCTGCATTGGGCTGAAATATACAGTGGGAATCATTTCAAAAAAAATATGCAAAAAAAAACCATACATTACTAAATGGATTCAAAATAATATGTAAATAGTTCAAGTATAGTGAATTAAATGGCATAACTTTCAAAATATTCTTTTACAAGTTCAAATCTTTGGTAAGAAACTTCACATATGCTATAATATAAGAATATAAGTGGGGCCTCATACATAAATGATTTGAAAATTTCAGATAGCTGAGTGCTACACAAGTGTATAAAATATATATGTATTTTCCAGAATCTATTACACATTATTACAGAGAGTGTAACATAAAAAAATATAATTATATACAATTACTTGATAATTTTGTATATATATATATATATATATTTTGTTTTAATGAGACTAAAATTCTAAATTCTTAATTATAAAAGCTAAAGAAATATTTTTACTCAATTAATATAAGATTTCTTGTGGTTCTTGTCAGAAACCAGCTTTGTAATCTGCTTAAATGTGCTAACAGTTTAATTAAATAGCAACATGGGTTGATTGCTAGGTCAGTGCTTGAGTACAAAATGAAATTTGTATAATCTATTTATATGTTAGTTTGAAGACCAGAAAAATTTTAGTAGTTTTGGGATATTCTGTTTTAGTTTTTGAATTACTGTTTGTGTTTAAAATGCATACTTGAAATCTACATGAATTATTTTTTGGACAACAAATACAGTGTAGTAAAAGTAGTCTTAGTGAAGATAATGTTTTTGAGTCCAAATTGGCCTATAGGAAACTGTAAGTGGGAAATTTCTTTATTTTTATGTATATTATTTTATTTATTGACATACATTTTTAACAAAAGTAAGAAAAGTGTAAAAACTAAGAGCTGAAGAACTTAAATGAAAAAAAAATTAAACAGAAACATGTTTATTGTAATTTGAGCTATGCTCTTGTTAGTTTTTTTATTATTGCTTTGTTAAGCTAGTTTATTAGCTAGACATGGTTTAACTTTTGCTGCAGATGATTTTGCTATAGTTGGTGTTAGGGTAGAGAAAAGTTACCATTTCCCTCTATTGAAAATGTACTTCCAATAGCTATCTCTATCAGCACAAATTTTCACTTTCCACTAGCCTTGCTACTCCTACTTATTACTGCATACTAACATGCAAGTGATCAGGCAGCAACCCTCCACCAATATGAGTGTGACACTACCCCTATCATAACTAGTGCCCTCTCTAGTTATGCACTTTGAAATTGGTCTTAACTAACCAAAACAAATCACACTAGAAGTGGGTAGGATGGGTAGGAAATGGGAGGTAAGCATATATCAGAAATACATTTTCAGTTTAGGAAAATGGTAACTTCTGATACGATATCTTACCTCTTTTCACAAAAAGCTAGAATCCTACATTTAACTGGTGGAGGGGCATTGAGAAGATGATGCCCCTTTATGAAGTGCCCAAAGGAAGACCATGAGGTGTGATAACAAATTATAAACAACACACCAGTGGGAGACCATACCAGTTATCACCCTTTAGTAATGTGTCGCCAAAATGTATTAGGCAAAACTTGGAGGAAGTCCAAATAAAATACAGTAATAATGGAACCCCCCCTGGTGTAGAGTGGCTACGGTGAGACAGACCATAAATAGAAGTTCGACCTCAACCAACATCTATCAGCATCTGGTATTGTACATCAGGTTCATGGTAGGAAGAGGGTCCTCTACCTTTCACCTCACAAATGAGTAGCATCTATTCTGTCAGAAGAATCCAGCTGGATGAGATATTGTGTCGGTGACAGAATAGATTTGTCCAGTCTGATAAGGAGGCCCACTTTTGTGGCTCCTGAAAGAAGAAGCTGAGAGTGTTGTTCTGCTAATTGACGGAATGGTGCCACAAGGAGTCAGTTGTCCATATAATGATGTGTGCACAAGCCCAAGGGATGCAGATGACAAGAAAAAGCTCGAACAGCTCTGCAGAAGACATAGGTGCTGATGCAAGACCAAAAGGTAGAGCCCTGAACTGCAGTACCTGACCCTTGTGCACAAATCTGAGAAACCTCTGGGAAGATGATCTGCTATGGGAATATAGAGATAAGCGTTAGTAACATTGTACTTGGTCAACCAGAGCCCTGGCACAAAGTGCCATTGTAGGTTGATAAAAGATTCCATAGTAAAGCAAGGGGGTTCTTAAAATTGGTTGAGTCGAGACAGATCAATGATTGGACACCAATCTGCTGTCTTCTTAGGTACAATGAATAAACAGGGATAAAATATTGGAAAAATGAGATTGACCCTCTCTCTACTGTCCTTTTAACTAATAATTATTTTGTGGCTTGGAAATGAAGCTCCACTCACCATGGACCTGTTGGAGGTGAAAAGGCAACAGGTTGTGCAGATAATGATGGAGGAGATGTAAATTGAATGACCAAACCTGAAACCAGAGCATGAAGTACCCATGGATCCCTGGTGAAAGAACTCCAGATGTACAGAAAGTCATGTACTAGTCCTCCCACTGCTCCCCATCCATGGAATAGTCACCAACACCGTTGTCTATGGTCCATCCAAGTTGATGATTCTCAAGAATCTTCTATTATGGGAACCAATAGACCTAGGAACTTAAGGAGGAGGTTGGGAAACACTACGAGCCAACACTCCCAAATTAACACCATAAAGGCAAGAAGCCAACAACAATAAAGAGGAATGTAAATGATCTGAGTCAATTTATGATTCTAACATCTCTAAAACTCTAGACCCCCACAGGTCCAAGAGGGAGTCCATCCATTGAGAATCTAAATATACTTCTTTCTGGTGGTGATAAGCCAAAGCATGCTGTTCTGATAAATGTGGGGGACAAGGCTTAGCTACCCCATCAAATCTCCCAGCATGAATAGCAATATTAGGAGGAGGAGGAAAAACCAAGTAGTCACATGCTGACCTTTCTGCCAACAAGGAAGAAGTTAAATGCAATAGGAGAAACCCCCAAAACCTCACAAACCAGAGTAGCCTACTGAATTAAAGGGGCTGAAGATGTTTCATCAAGAGGATCCTCTGACGAGGCCAACCTAGTAAACGTTGGAGCCAGGAAAAGTGAGTCTAAATTCTCCCCAGATGGGCCCGAGTCATTTGCAAGAGCTGCCTCAGAACCCCTTGGAGAGACACCCTCAGTCTGCATATATGTTTCCATCTCAAAACAGATCATATCATGGACAGCCTCAACTAAGAGTGACCCCTCTCCTGGCCGGTGACAAACATCAGATAGCAGAGATGGAAGAGAAGAGGTTTGGTTGGCCTCCGTAGTAGAACCATTAACTCAGGAATTCATACCTGTCAGTACATTTTTTTTGTTAAATTAATTTATAAATATAAATGAAGATATAACACAGTAAGGCCAACTATGTCCAAAGTTCCAATGTAAATTGTGAATAATCACAACACTCCTGTTTATAGAAACCCATACTGAACACTTTGTCGAGAAAAGGTGGTTACATTACCTGAATAAGGTGCTTGTATACAGTACCTAGATAGATGGCGCATTGAAGTCGGTGGAGAATTTGCCAAAGGCAATTGAGTGATATATTAAAATACTGGAGCAAGCATTTTCAATGCTTAGACAGACAAAGAGTGGAAACCCTGGAGATCAAGAAATAGCTATAGTGTCAGCAAAGGTAAGTATGTTTTGGAACTATAGAACTAAGTTGCTCAATATACATGAGACAATGAAGTACCTTTATGATAACCTTGTATCACAAACTGGTAAAATTGTATTGTTTTCTACATAAGGGTAGGTATAATATATTAAACATGTGACATTTGTGTATATTAAACCAGGTTTTATAAATGTGTATATATATGTAAAGCAGTAGTTTATGATCTGTGGTAATGCTTGTCTTACAAATAGTTGAGCACTACTAAGACAGGCTAAATGTAGTTGCTATTGATACCTGTAATTTTATTATAAATTTAGCTCTTGTAATATAATAAACTCTCATCGGTGTGTTTTGTTTCTGTCACTCAGCACACCAATGTTGTAAATCTAGTCTTTCCATCTTTTAAGTTCTATGTAAAGTAAATTAGTGTTCCTGAGAACCAAGTAAAGTTATCAACTCCTTTTATTATGTATGTGTACCTCTACTCTATAATTCAAATTAGTTGTGGCTAAAAATAACCTTCAATATCAGCCATGTGTCAGGTTGTATGCCCTAGGTGTCTCATTGTATAAACCAAGTTGCCTTGATATTGTTGCGTCATCGAGGTCACGTGACTGGTGTGGCGTCCTCTAGTTTCTAGAACTATCTTGTTCCTTCATGAATGCTCTAGTATTTACTAGATAGGGTAGTCTGGTATATATAAGAGGGTGACAACGTGATGCGGGAATGTAATGTAATGTGTGTGTAGGTAGTGAGTAATTGAACTGCAGTCACAGGATATTGTTGAAGTTAACGTTCGTTCGTTATAGTGTTTGTTTTAGCGCGAATATTGAAATTAAGTGTATCGTAAAGTTCTATTCGGAAAGAATAAACCAGTTTTATTAAGTAAGGACTTGTGTCGTTAAAGTTTCGTCGGAACGAAGTTACAGAAAGTTAATTAACAAACGGAGACGTAACAATATTCTTAATCTATCTTAATGCAATGTTCAAAAGTTACACAAGTTTGGATTTAAAATATCTTAGAAAGTACAAAATTAAAGTGAAATAGTTTACCTTTGATACATGGTCCTTCTTCATACAGAGCTTTCCAGCCAGGACAACAGGTGGTTAAATGACCTTTGTGACAAAGATGAGGGCCCCTTTCAAATTAGTAAAAGCAGGCATAATTTTACATACATACACATTGGTTTAGTTTATAGCAAACATGCATATATATATGTATCAACTCCAAAAAAAAAAAGAACATTAAATAAAAAAACTCAATACTTACTTCATACTTCAGCTAATGGCAACAAGTCCCAAGTAACAACCAATAGTCTTTGTAGCATAATAATGTAAAGATGAATAATTTACATTTCTGACAAACTAATTAATTTCTCCTTAATATTTACTGGTGAATACACAAATAAAATATGCTTTATTAGAAAGAATGGGAGGCTGTATGCTCCAAGTTTGAGCTCTGGTGACCTGTGGAGCACTAGCCTAAAACAATGATGTGAGCTAAAAATTGTAGGTTGTGGATAAAACCAATTGATGTCAGAAACTAAGCTAGAGAAGATAATTGGTGTAGTACAAATCTCAGGTAATATAATACATTATTCAGGTGCAAAAAGTTGCATTGGAGCTTACACAATAAAAATTATAGAGTAGTTATTTTGTGAGTGCTTCCATAGAAGAGATTTGTGCAAAATATTCTGAGCAGCATATAGCAATTAAATGAACCATCGTTGAGGGAATCTCTCTGAACGAACTAATGAACAGGTCAATATTTAAGAGGAGGAGAAGAGAGAGAACCTTAGCAGGCTGAGAAATAATACTTGGGAGAGTATTGCTTGACTGTATTAGGGCTGTTTAAACAGTTTAGATGGAGACAAAGGATGCTCTTTTATTTTGCATTATGACTTGATTTTCAAAGACATGAAGCTAATAGCTAAACTATTAATTATAATATAGAAGAAGAAAATAATAGGCTTATTGTCTTCTTTATTAATAAATTTGTACAAAATACATAGTGAGAAATAGAAGCTTTAGTTCATTAAAGCTAAATGAAGATTATGGAGATGCTATTTTGAAAAAGTTTAAGATCTTCTACACATCTAGGGACAGTAAGAGTGAGAGAGGAAGGGGTTATTTTGTTTGTAAGTAGGATTAAAGTTTATGAGAGAAGTGCCATACACTTAGATGTTGGGTATGCAATGCATGGCATAGAATGATTATGTTTTAAAATTTTAGTTGAAAAATTTTGCAGTCAAATATAGCAATGTTAATAACACAATATATTATCCAGAATATATTTTTGAAGCTGAAATTACAAAATTCATTTTATCTAATTTTTTATGACCTTCCAAAATAATTCTCCTCCTTTTATATTTAATTCTTTGATTACTAATTTTTTTTTCTTCTATCATTTGATGTCTGAAACATGTAAAACGATGTGGTGCATGTTTGGGTCAAGGTTCTGAAAAGAAAGGGAGGAAAAAGTTGCTTATTTACAATTTTCCTGATTAGGCCATTATCAGTGTAAAGAATCAGTAAAAATGAATTAACTATGCTTTTAATTTCAGCATACTTATTTTATGGGAGACAATATGGATTAACTATACTGTCAATATAAGCATATTTTATAGGAGACTTTAATTTTTAGCAAATTAACAAGAAGAGTTATTCTACTCATGTGATGCTGAATATTTTCTTAAGATTATGTGGATTTATTTTCTCAATCAATGTGTGAAAGATCCTACTAGAGAATACACAATTTTAAACCTTGTTCATAGTACTGAGCAGGACATGGTCAAGGAATTTTCATTTGCAAGAGCACTTGAGTATTCAGTGACCACAACATTGTCTGTAACCATCTAGAGCTTATAACAGTTATTGCTCCTGTTTCAGAAAAGCTGGCTTCTAGGAACTGAAAGCTATGTTAAGTAAGATAAATTAGCTGGCTGAAACAATTGAAAATGATGTTAGTAAGAGATAGGCTGTTTTTTGTTAGTTCAATATAGCTAGCTAGAAAGCAAAGTAACCATTTCAAAATCTCCTGTTTCAAGGAAAGAATAACATAAGTTAAATATTAAAAACATGGAGAAAGATATGGTTTATCAACTTTTAAACAAAAACATAATTAAAGAAATCTATTGTTAAGGATACAGGTAAAATATATTGACATAGCCTTATAGTAAAATATATCCAATTTGATTTGAAGAGTTTTATACTTCTGTTAATTTCAAAATAAAAGAATAAGGAATAATATTGGTTCCTTATGATATCTCAAATGGAACCTTATGATGGAGAAAAGAACACAAATGACATGCTATATAGCCTCTTCTTTTCAATACTCTATCTCTAGTAAATAATCTGTAACCTGGTCAGAATACTTTACAACACTTAAAGCCCCCACTAACACTGCTAAATTTCTCCAAGGTTTTAAGCTGAATGTTGTTAAAGCCAGTAGTTTAGCTCTAGAATTTTCTTGTTTTTTATATTTTATATATATTTTAAATATTAGTAAAAACTGAGGAGTAGCTTTATATGTAAGGAGTTAATTGCATCCTGATGAGTTAGAGCATATTAGAGAAAATAGCACTAAGGTTGAGTCACTTTGGGTTTGTGTCAGTGGATATAAAGGGAAAAGTCTTGTAATTGGGATTTGTTATAGACCTCCATATCAGAATGTGGAAGTTAATGAGAAACTGTATAATGAGATCAAAATGGTAGCTGAAAAAGATGTTGCTATTATAGGAGATTTTAATTTCAGAGATACTGATTGGGAAAATTTTCAGTCTGACAATGAAGGGGAAAGGTTTTTGGAAATTGTTTAGGATACTGTTATACACCAACTGGTGATGGAACCTACAAGAGAGAAAGCTATATTAGATTTAATATTAGCATCCGATGTGAATATGATAAACAGAGTTGGTGAGCATTTAAGTACAAATGACCATTGCACTATTAGGTTTGGGATTTTACTATATGTAGAATTGAAGAATAGTTCCCTGATTCCAAATTAGGAAAACCAATTTTGATAGAATGAGACATGATCTGGCTTCTGTAGATCAGAATAAAAAGTTGGAAGGAGATCTTGAACAGATGTGGGAAGCTTTTAGGGAAAACTTTATATGCATACAGAACATACATATTCCCTACAGAAAAAAAGGGGCAACAGACCTGAATAAGCCAGTATGGATTAGTAAAGGTTTAAGAGATCATATAAGGGATAAACATACTAAATTCAAGAAATTTAAACTTACTGGAAATAATAAGGACTTGGAGGACTATAGGAAATCAAGAGAGCTGGTTGAAAAGGAAGTTAAAAGGGCAAAAACTGTACATATAAGAGGGTTGGCTGAGAGAGTTAAATCAAACAATAAGGAATTATTTAGGTATATGATGGGTAAGCAAAATGTCAGGATGGGGATTGGGTCTCTTAAAAATGATAGTGGGGAGCTGATCTCAGAAGATTATGAAATGGTAAACTTATTAAATTATATGTTTGTACAAAGGAAGATACAAGTATTATGCCTCAACCAGAGCACTTAATGTATGGGGAAAATATTGATGAAATATATATCATTTTAAGTTCTGAAATTGTAAGAGAAAAGTTGGGAAACCTGAAAATTGATAAATCCCCTGGACCAGACAACTTTTATCCTAGAGTTTTAAAGGAACTTAAAGATTTTATTTGTGAACCACTAGCTAAAATTTTTAATAGATCATTGAGCAGTGGAAGAGTATTAGAAGATTGGAAGTTGGCTAATGTTTGTCCAATATTTAAAGAAGGTGATAAACATTGTCCAGGCAATTATAGTCCAGTTCGTCTTACATCAGTAATTGGAAAGGTTTTGGAGAGTGTGATTAAAGATGCATTGCAGTCACTTACAGCAGTTTGATATAATGTCAAAGAGCATGGTTTCACTGAGGGAAAATCTAGTTTAACAAATCTGACATTCTTTGAGGATGTTACTACAAGAGCTGATGAAGGAAATATTGTTTGATAAGGTGCCTCACAAAAGACTTGTTACAAAAATTAAATCTGTGGGTGTGGGGGAAATGTTAATAAACTGAATAGAAAATTGGTTGGAGAGTAGAAAGCAGAGAATAGTAATAAATGTAATTAAATCTACGGATCACAGTTACAAGTGGTGTGTGTCTCAGGGCTCTGTGCTGAGTCCTCTGATGTTTGTGATTTATATTAATGATACTGACTCTGGAATGACTAACAAAATTTTGAAGTTTGCAGATGACAATAAGAGGTTTGGGATGGCTAACTGTATCAAAGATACTGCAGACTTACAGGGAGACTTAGATCATTTGATGCATTGGGCCAATATGTGGCAGATGGTGTTTAACTATTCAAAATATAAGGCAATGCATGTAGGTTTTCACAATTCAAATTATTGTTATGATTTAAATAGGAATGCATTAAATACTGTGGTTGAAGAAAAAGATCTTGGTGTTGTGATAAAAAAATTACTTAAGTCATCTAAACAGTGTACTGTAACTATACTGTACAAGAAGCTTTCCCTCCTCTTTTGCATAATTAAGGATTCCTATCTAAATTATATGTGAAACTTATATTATGATAACCCCCATGCATACCCTACATTTGACATAATTAAGTGCTATCTGCCATGTTTATCCGACTAATCAATTGATCTAAGTCACTCTGTAAAATAATAGCATTCTTTCCAGAACAAGCTAGACATAAAATTACATATCAGCAAACTTAACCAATTGTCAGGCTATTAATGTAATTACTAAAAATAAGAAATAGCGATGTTACCAGCACAGATCTCTGAAGCACAACACTTATAACATTAGTCCAATTAGACTGTATTCCATTAATAACATTTTGTAGCCTCCGAAGATTTTAAAAATATTAAAGTAAGCAGAATATGAGATTGGGAATTTGACCTTTGAAGAATGAAGGTAGATATTTTATTGATAACTGAGATTGCTGTGCTAGCTTTTCAATAATTTTTTCTCATCAATTTTTGCCAAGAAGGATGAAGACTGGATTCTTAGCGTTGAGATTTTATTTGGAGAATATGTTTTGGAAGTGTGCATTATGGACATTAATCCAGAGCTTGTTACAAACAACACTTAGACTTTGAAAATAGATAAAGCTTCTAGGCCTTATAATACTTACCTTAGAGTTTTAAAAGAGGCTAAGGACCAGATTTCTGAGCCACTTGGTTTCATTTTTAGCAGATCATTGAACAGGGTGGGAGCAAGTGCCTGAAGACTGTAGAATGGTTGATATTACTCCAATTTTCATAGGAAGAGATAATCGTTGTCTATGGAATTTTAGCCCATTTAATTTTACATTGGTAGTGGAGAAAGCATAAGAGCATCTGATAAAATACATGAAGACCTATAGTTTGTAGACTCATCTGATGAAATTTAGAATTACTATTTCTTGAGGATGTTATTTCTTTTCCAGGTAACTGTATAGGAGTGGATTTGGTTTACTTGGATTTTCAGGAAACGTATGATACAGTACCAAATAAAAGATTGGAGGAACAAATTACCTCATTCAGAGGAACAGATAAGCTAGTTAGTTGGCTGGGTTAGTGTTAATTCTAACATTACATGCCAACTGTTCTTCATAAATCCATTTTGATATCCTAATTTCCTTTTTAGTTTACTACCAAAATTTTCTGCAATCGTCAGAATCTCCCATCCTGACCAACAAATGAAATTTCCTAAACCTATCACATTTATCTCTAATTTTAACATAACTTGAATGCTAGAAAAATAGCACTAACTCAGTGGCAAGAGTAACATATTGACTATCATGTCAAGAAACCTTTTCTTCAATCACTATTGAGTGAACTTTCATTTATAGAAATCATGTGCTCAAAACTACCATAACCCAAAACACTTATTAAAATTGAACATCGTTTGCTAAATATTTGTCCAATTGCTCCAAGTCATTCTCTAATACCTCAACACCCTTCATACAGCGACAATACCCAAGAGTTTAATATCAGTAAATCTTACTTATTTAACAATTCTGCCCCTATCAATATCATTCATGCACATAAACAAAAAGCAAAGGCCCAAACACTAACCACTGAGGCACTCCACTACTATCAAGGGTCCAGCTTGACTAGACTCCATTAATAACAACTATTGCTTTCTCTCATCCAATAACCATACTACAATCAAATTAACTATTTTTTCCAAACCCCCCAAAAATATATGCTTTTCCTAGCTGACCACAGCCTTTCTATCAGGTAGATAAAAGAACTACCCTAAAAATAAATTAAAAGGTTCGTAAGACAGTATTTCCCTTTGCCGAATCCATGCTGGCTATTCTTTACATCACATTTTGCAAAGCTTCTTTAATCAAACTCTGTAATTTTTCTTTCTATAGAATTAACATTAACTGGCCTATAATTTTCAAGGCAATTCTTTTAACCCCCTTTAAAAATGGAATAACATTAAAAATGCTGCAATTCTCAATCACCTACCTACTGTCTACTGATCTTTCAAAAATGAAAGAGAGGGGCTTGCATATCCAGTCTTTGACCACTTTTAGAACTCTGGGAAGAACTTGTCTAGTACTGTTGTTTCATCTATTTTTAATCTCTCAATCATTTTACTTACTACAAAGGAATGCAATTCAGACCAATTCCAATTTTTCCCATGGAATGCTCATGGCAAGGAATATTGTTAACATCTCTTGTAAAAACAAAAGAGAACATTTAAAAGCTCAGTCATTTCATAGTGTTCAACCAAAAAATTGTCATCACCACCTAGATTTTGTTCTGTACCCAAGTATGACTTGGCTATTGACAATAGCTTCAGCTAGCTTAATAATAACAAATAATGAGTAATCCAAGGAAATGTTTATCAACACATAAAGAAATTTTACATGAGACAACTTATAAATACGGGGGAAGTGACATTCACATTCTGAATGCAATCAAGCACCAATAGACTAAAATCAACATTTTAATTCCTGCAGAAGTAATAGCAATGAAAACTACTAATGCCTAACCTCTCTCTTAACTTTGCAGTTAAGTATTTATAAACCATAGCTCAGCATACATTGATGTCACATGTTTACAATAATTAACACAACATTATGTCACAAGCAAATCATGTGACTGTCGAGTTACATTATATACTGTAATTTAAGCTTGAAGATTATTGCACAAAATGTACATAAGAAACTCTTAAGTTATTAGAAGGTATGTGTGCTTAATGTAATAAGTGTATAATGATATGATAATAGATGCAATGATTATAACACAAACAGACATTTGTATCTGAAGGAAGAAGTAATGATACTCTTACAGTAGTCCTTTTTTTCTTAGATGGAACATGCCTATAGACAATTAAAAACATTTTAACATTGTGTGTTATTTATTTATTATTTGAACATGCCTGTGTTACATATGTTAAATATTTGAATTGTTTCTTTAAAAAAGTAATATTTTTGTATTTGCCAATTATACTATAACAAGATGAAGAGTTGTCCACTTGGGACTTGAACCCTGGAAGCTTGGGTGAGAATCAGTAACAGGGCAGTAGTGGCAGACAGAGGTCCTGATAAAAGCCTAGCTCAGGGATACTAATTTTCATCTATTTCAGTTTATTACAAATGACACTTGGGATTCCAGTCACAAAGTTTTTTCTGGTGAGGTTACACTATATCTTGTAGTTCTTTATAATTAAATTACACATACAGCTTTAAACATAAACTATTTTAAGTTATTGTAACATTTTCTTAACTCCTTGTTCTAATTTTCTATAAATTTGTTGATACATATATATTCAATATTTATTCTTTTTTTTGTGGTACATGTATTATTCTGTATACAAGCATCTCCTCCCAATTTTGTACCATTCTATTTCATCTATGTTTTTATTTTCCTTACAATTCTATATACAGATTATTGTTTCTTACTTTTCTTTACAAATTTCTTATTTTTTGTCTTCTTCCTATAAACATTTTTTTGCCCAATTTGCTACATTTTCATGTCTTGTTCATGTTACAGTTAAGATTTTGTTTTCCCTGCCTCCTTCTGATTTTATTTATTCTTCCATTAATTCAAGAAATAAATAACAGTTGGTGTTAAAATTAATAAATAAATAAAATAGTATAAAATTCCTTACTCTAATTCTGATGTGTTGTGACATAAATAAAAATTGATGAAAAGTTGCACTCTATCAATTTACCTAGTTCACATTGTAACAGTTATTGTGAAGCACTGTGTTAATGTAAATAGTGTCTTAACCACAACATTGTTTATCATATCTCAGTAGGTCTGAATGGCCATGGTACTGGGCAAAAGGCTTCATTAGCACTGGATGTAGCAGATATAATTTGGTTGACATGTTATCATACACTTCCTTAGAACTTGTAGTTCTAGTAGCTGAGTCAGGAGCATGTAATAATGTGCTGGGAAAAGCAGATTCTATTAAGAATGCTTCTTCAATTCTAAAGGACCTTGACAATCTTATTATGTAGGGCAGAATGAGGAAAATGAGTTTCAAAATTGTAAATATTAAGAAGTGCTATGTAATTGGGATACAGAGATTTATAAAAGGCTTACTTCTTTTGTGAAGAGCACTGGTGATATGAAACAAAAAGGACTTAGGAGTGTTTTTTTATTAAACTGTAAAGTTGGGTTGGAAAAAAAAAGGATACAAGAGGTCTCGATTCTATTAATATGAAATCTAATTTTGAGAGCAATAAGGTTACTATAGCTTGTATAAGGTTTAATTTCAAGTACTGTGTGCAGCTATAGTTCTCTAACAATAGAAAATTCAAAATATCAGTATGCAAGAAAAATGAACATACACAATAACAGAATGATTCCTAATTTAAAAAGTTACTTTAAGTATATATTTTCTCCAGGTTGAAGAAGAATTATAAATCTTCATTCAGATATTAAAAATTGTAACAGGATTTAACAATCTTGGTTAAGAAAGCACTAGCATATTAAGAGTATTAAATCTAAGCTTTCTGTGCACACATTTGCTGGATTGTTGAATTAGACAAGATATTGTACAATCTGCCTAAATGTATTTTAAAACCATATAAATGGCTACAGATAATTAAACTTTACATGAATATACAGATTTGTTGTTGAACATAATTATTCCTATCTTAAAGAAAATGCTATATTAAATCATTTTTAGAACATTGAGCTAAATTTACTCACATGCACATTATGAACGTATTGTTTTTTATCTTAAGTCCTTGGTTTGACTTCAGTTGTACAGGGACTTAGTTAACTTAGTTTTTACAGTTTTTTCTAAATTTAAAAACAAAAAAGTCAATTACTTAAGAATGACCAGTATGAAAGCAGGTCATTTGGCCTATCCTATCTCATACCAAGAATATAATACATTTACCCAATTTAGTGTCAAATTTCAAATCTATTTATCCATTAACAAGAATCTAGAACAATACAAATTGCCACATCAGTACCCACAACAATATCATTATCAACCAAATCACTTCAAAAGCAATTCTAAGAGAGGAGTCACTTTTCTTCGAAATCTGCCTGAATCAGATTTATGGCTAGGTTTCAAACATGAAGATTACATTTGCCTGAAAATACCTTCAATATTCATATGGTTATTACTACAAATTTCTTACCCACGCCTCTTCAAGTGCCTTGGGTGATGAGCATCTAAGTGATCTGACAATTGGACCACTGAAGATTGTAAACCAAAACTCTTCCTTTGGTCAAAGTAATCATTGTGTGTATTCGACTTTTTTTCAACTTTTAAGCTGCCTGCCTCTTGGCAGTTCAAGGACAGTAAAAGCACAGTGCAAACATTCACAATAAACGTAGACATTTCTTCCCTGTAAAACAAAGCAAGCTGATGAAACAATTCATACTAATTGTGATAAGTAATATAACTTGAACATTATATTTAATTAGCTCAACTCATTACTACTTAAAAGTTAAATACTAGATATAGTTTAATTCTGATCTATGTAACTTGCTATGATCAGAAATTAATTATATAATAAAGATCCAGGCAATTTTGACTAACGAACCCCATAAACCACAGCATAAAAAGTTAAAAGATTTTCGTCATTAGAATTAAGTATAACTAAAAATATAATTTTGGCAAAAACTTGAGTACCTAATTTCTCAACATTTTTGCCTGGTTTATCAAAACCTAGTAACATTAACACTGCTAGTGCTACCAAACGCAAGTGCCTAAACGTTCCATGACCATATTAGTTATTACCATTAAATTAGTTACTATCAATATAATTTTGGCACTTATAACTATTCCGCATTCAGTGAGTCAGATTTTGATATAATATTAGTATATATCATATGATATAGTATAATACATGATATTTTAAAACTAATCTCATTTTCAATTACGAATTATAGTATTAAAAATTAAATTAAAGCTTTTGAGTGTTTGAGAAGATATAATGTACTGAACAGTAAACAGTTCACTATCTTGTGTTACGTTGCACCCTTAAGTTAATACCTTATTCAGTTTTAGAAATATTTTCACTTCTAATTCACATGTTATTCTTTATCGCACAAATACCGTAAAAACACAATCAACTGAACTTCACTTGAGAAACTATACTCCTGGTTACGTTAGCAACAGAATTAACTTTACTACATCGCCCTCTTTGATTTTTTCTTTTTTTTTTATTTGCGAGTTATGGGGGCGCCATCAGCAGATGATATGCCCCCAAATTTCCCTGATTTGATTTAGTTGAACTAGATACCTTCATCACTGCCATTTAGCATGAAGGAGAAGTTAGTAGTTACATATACACAATTTTTTTTTATTATTATTATACTTTTTTTTTTTTTGCTTTTTGTTGTAGTTAATTGTGTTACACGAAAAATCCTACAATGTCATGTTACTGGAATAATACATATGGAAAAAGTTTACATAGTTAGTTCTTCTCGACTGGGGGCGACTCCAGCCGTTGGAGACAAGGATAAAAGAAGTAGCCTTATTAGTAAAAAGAAAAGGACATTAAATTTTTATGTTATTTGTTATAACGAAGTTATATATTTCGGGATAGAGACAATTCGTAGTTAATAGAGAGAGGTAGGTAAAAGGGACTTTTATGTTACCCATCTGTTGTTTTATGGCTGCTCGATCTCTTTGGTAATATGCACATTCCATGAAAGCGTGTTCTGGGCCTTCAAAATTTGAACAATGGCTGCATTCACCATTTGGGTGTACTTTTATTTGGTACAGATGTCCATTTAGACCTGTGCAATTAAACCGGAGGCGTGTAATAATAACTTATTGATGTCTGTTCGTACATTCATACTTGATGTGAGAAGAAACAACAGGAACAATTTTCTTGTAGATATTGGAATGTTGCACGGAATTCCATCTACGCTGCCAGGAATCTAAAATGGATTGATAAACTTGGCCATAGAGGTCACCAAGTTCAATAGAAACGTTTGTGACCCCAGGATATGCTAACTCATTCTTGGCAAGATGATCAACTATCTCATTTCCCTTGATTCCTATATGGCTAGGGACCCAAAGAAATTTGATGACCATACGGCGACATAATCGGATAAGGTATATAAATACTTCACTCAGTAACATTGGGTTAGATGTAAAGGAACCGTTCTTAATCGAAAGTAATGAACTTAAGGAATCACTGACTATCAGGGCTTTCGTAACCTCGGAATCTTCCAGCCACAGAAGGGCTTGTAAGATAGCAAACAGTTCAGCCTTATATACAGAAGTAGGTATCTAGCCCTCTGGAAAACTGGTCGTAATATTAATCACATTCAAACCTGTCTTCAAACAAATCTGGATAATTTAGCCGATTGGTTTTTTAAATGGGGCTTTACGGTTTCAGCCCTAAAGTCTGCAGTTCTACATTTTTCTCGTACTTCAAGCTCTGTGAAATTAAATCTTAATAACCATCAACTAGTCTCCGTCACCCACCACAAATTTCTTGGATTTATCTTTGATTCCAGGTTAAATTGGACGCGTCATATCACCTATGTCTCGCACAAATGTGCTAAGCGACTCAATTTGCATAAACATGTGTCTGGCACACGTTGGGGAGCGTCCAAAAAGACTTTATTACTTATGTACAAAACCTTAATAAGATCCGTCGTTGATTATGGCAGTATCATTTATGACTCTGCAAGTCGCTCAGTCCTTAAACAACTGGACGTTATTCAGAATCGTTGTTTGCGATTATGTTGTAGAGCATTGAAACACACCCATATATCGGCTATGTAAGTGGACTGTGGTGTCCTACCCTTTGACCTGCAGAGACGGAAGATCCAACTCAAATTTATAGCAAGATCTTTGTATTACGTTTATCCCGTTCATTTCACTCAAAAGAATTGGCAAGATTATTACGGAACCTTTCACCAATGTCGATAAAAACTGAAGACTTTTTCTCGTCCGTGAACCTTCAAAATGTTGCAAAATACAAATATTTTCACTTTCCTCCTTGGGAGATTCCAACCCCTGATGTCGACGTCAGTCTTCATTATGCTGGTAAAAAACGGGAGCAAAGTTATTTGCTTTTGTCCTTGGCCAAGGAGAAACTAGCTAGCTTCTCAGACTATACTAGTATCTTTACGGATGGTTCCAAGTCTACCAGTTTTACTTCATCGGCATTTTATATAAACAATCTCAACATCAGAAAATCATTTAAAACTGTTTATCAGCAAAAATACTATAATTCGTACCATTATTAATGAAGGAAGAACTAAGGTCATTGATCATTAGAAGGAATAGAATAGGGCTAATAACACTACCCTGGGGAGTGCCATTTTCCGTGACTCTTCCCCCAGAGACAACTCCATTGACTCTGATCTTAAAGGATCGGTTTGAAAGAAAGTCTTCAATCCAGTTAAAGAGTTGGCCATCAAAACCATAACTAATGAGTTTATATAACAAACCTTCTTTCCAGACCATATCGTATGCTCGTTCAATATCCAATAATACAGACACTGCCTTGCCTCTGTTACATAATGATTTGTTGACATCTTCATGTAGCTGTACCAAATGATCAAGCGGTGACTTCTTCCAATGGAAACCAGACTGAAACTGGTCGAAAAGTTTATGTTTTTCACAATACCAATTCAAACGGTATGCTATCATTCGTTCCATAATTTTACACATAGTAGAAGTAAGAGCAATTGGTCGATACGATGTAACAGAACTTGGATCCTTTTCTGGCTTAGGGATTGGACAAACTATGGCATGTTTCCAGGCTGAAGGGAGGGTACCTTCATTCTATACCTTATTGAAATATTCCAGCAGCTTTACCAAAAAATTGGGCGAAAGATTTTTATAGATTTTATAAGGAATTCGATCGTCACCAGGGGCCGAGTTTTTAGATGTCTTTATTGCTCGGTTAAGTTCACCGATCGTGAATTGAGCGTTCAACCCTTTACTGTTGTTTGCCTTTATTGTAAAGGTGGCATAGTGGTCATGTTCAAATAATTTTCTATGAGTTAAAAATTCG